GGTAGAGTTAGAGAATACTTACGATATGTATTACTAATAGAAGAGACCAGTCTTGTACTATCAGTAACCTAGGCATATGCCTAAGAGCTATCGTACAGCAGAAGAAGAAGAGAAGTATCATTCCCTGTCGCCAAGAACTAACTATCTGAAGGAGAATCATTACATATACTCTACTGGTTAAGAAATCTAGTAAACCATTCAGCTGAAATTATAAACATATTTGGTATACTACCATAACATTTTATGAAAAGTTCATACAATTTAGCTCTAAACTATCCTCAGTAAATTAAATTCCTCTTCTGTCTTTTTTGTAAGAATATTATAAATAGTTTTCTTTCTATCCCTGACTATTTGTACATGTATCTTGCTGATAGTTATCTACCAGAACTTCCTGGCTGGTTCACAATACTATTCCTAACTACCTACTACTGCTGTCTGGTACTCTTAGGAATTTCCCAAAAAATAGAAGCTTCCTTATAGATTAGTTAATGATACTGTGAACTCTGTACAGCAGGTACTCAGTAATGTAGTAAGAAGAGTATAATCTATAATATCTGAGTCTTGTTGTAGGAGTCCTGTATTTTCCTTATTGGTTCTTGCTCACAGTAAATTCTCACTTCTAGTGACTTAGGCTTTGGTCCAGGTTATAATATTTCTCTGAGACAAGGTGCTACAACTGGTGTACTGGAGTGTTGAACATTTAGTTCATTTGAGTAAGTTGATGAAGACATCACTGAATTGCTATAACACATGTAGTGAAGCATAATGACTATTAAAGTGCATATAGCTAGTCTTGTTTGGCTTGTTTCAAGGAGGTGAGGTTGACCTGTCAGATTTATTTAAGTAAGATCTACAGTCTTGGCTTGCTATATTAGTTATAATGCATACATTATAAGTACTCAAAGTGCTTGGCAAAAAACCATATAACTTGAGATAATACAGTATGCTTTGCAGGATATACTTACTTTTCTTGTATAAGCCACATTATGTTGTGTCCTATTTTAGACAATTGTAATATTATCATACATACTTGCTTTTAAGTCGGTTTTCTAATAGGCAAAGCATGCCTGTTTTTTTATTGTAATTATTATAATCATCTCAGGGAAGATACACTTTCAGTTTAAATGCTCTGGTAGATTTATTTAATAGCTAGTAATTTAGCAATCTACCAGATTGCAGATTACCCTCATTATAAAAAGTGGTCGTGTTGAGGTTCATTGAACTTCATGTTCTTTTATGGTTGTCATGTGCTCATTTTAATCGTCCGGCACCGTGGTTGAGTAATTAAATTCATATTTACAATATCTCTAGGATATCTGCTACATAAACTCTACCCTTCTTGTATCACATAGTCTTTTCCTTCCTCCTATTTCAGGCTACCACTACTAGCATCACCGATATTGCGGACCCAGATACTACTTTCAATATGTTTTCTAATACTTTATTTACTTTCACCCTCATAGTCGGGTTGTTTCTCAGTATAACAAGCTCTCTCAAGCGCTTCCAGTTTTTCCTCAGTGCTCTCATTATCGGTCTTTGAATCTGCGAATCATAATCCCTCTGCTGGTCCAAATGAGGTATAGTGGTGCCGCCAGGTATGATGAACTGGATTAGTCTTTGAGTTGCAAGAATATACGAATATCTGATGACTTGAAAGGAAAGGTCTTTTTGATTCTGTATTCCTTTCTCTTCATTTGATATGCTTATTTCATGGTACTCTTCCTTGTATGCAAGCTACAGTTACTCTCTATGAAAACGGTATGGTGATAATACAGCAACATTGGCAGCATCTACACACTATTTCCTCAATTCATCTTCTCCCTATCAGGTAAACACCAGCGCAATGGCAAAAAAGCACTGGAATCTGCACCAGAGTAAGGGATTTCAACAATCTTTTCATCCCGTATCCAGAAGTTTACTAAAACATTATCACGGCGACTTAGATCACGATACAGGTCAGAATTGGCAACACCCTCCAAGTGTGGAGCGGGGGCTTCCGCTGGTTCAACAGTGTACCGTGGGATCCTTTCGCTCTTCATAAAGCGTCCGGCTCACAGAGTAGTTGGGTAACGGCACACGCACCGCCAGCTCACATCCTCGTGCTCTCATACTCCTTCCACCCAAACTCTATACAGAGCTGCAGGTTCCACGTTTCCCGATCGTGGGGAGCTTTACCCCGCATTAGCACCATCTCCCTTTTTCATCGCATCCCCCCTTCACATTTCACGCTTCATATCACCCGTTATGGCTCCCTGGATGATTATATTCCGACAGTGACCTCACAGTATGAACCCCTAACTAACCTGTCTTGATGGTCCTACAGCACTCTTAGGCTTTCCCGAGGAAGAACCCCTCCGCTGGAGAAAATAAACCTCATCTCAAGGGTTTATTACCTGAGCCCTTGTAACAGGAGTACCTTAGTATCCTTCCTCCACATAAACAATTCTGGCTAAACCGCTATTGTACAGTACTGTCCTCGGCACAGCTTTTTATCCCTCCTCCTCCTGCAATAGGCCGTGGATAATGGTTATGGCAAAGGGCGAGTTAGATGTTTGACAACAGGATATTCTGTACCCTTGATACTGGATTGGTCATTAGCGTTGACTGTATATGGCACATGATTGTTTGGAACGGGAGGGGACATTAGCATCTGCAGGTTCCCGTAGATTACACATCACCGTTTCTGCACCCCGTCGCTTATGGATCGCCGGTCTCTCTCTCTTTTTTTTTATTTGTTTTTTGCCAAAGGAGGCCGTTCATGGGCTGGATAGTTTACAACTCATCGTTGGAAAACTTTATCCCCTTTGCCTAGCCGAATGAGGATTGGATGCATAGTTGAAGACGTTCTGCCAGGGGGTTCATGAGACAAGCTCGGGCTCCCACCGGGTTGTCCTCCCAGACCACCCCACTACTTTGTTTGGTGGTGCCACGGTCCATCGTATTCGGGTACTGCGCAGTGAGCCTCACCGGTCCACTCAATTTGTGGGGGAAAGTGCGGGGTATTTATCCCAGGCACTGCTCAGCTTATGATACTATATCTGGAGTCGAAGAGTGGGTGGTGGGAAAAGTCTGTACGAGTGATATTTTATGATGCACTATACTTGTTGCACCTGGTAAACCTATCAAACTCGATGGATTATGGCCGGACCCCGAGGGTACGCAGTAGGTGTGTCCCAGAAACCAGAATGGAAATACCGTTTCGTAATTCTCCCGTGAGCTTGCGAGTCATACCGTAGGTACAAGTACGAGCATATATCGTACGGTACCGTACTTGTATCAAGATACCGGCGAAATCGAATAGCCAATCGGCCCCGGATCCCCCCGATCAGAGACAAACAGCCGGAGAAGGTATGGCGTCTTCCAGGCAGAGCGCAACCTGGGGAGGCTGAGCTTGCTACTTGTACATCTCAAATACCGTAGACCGGTAAATTTATTCGTTATTTGTTTTTACCTACCCGTACAGTACGAGTACTCGTACACAAGCACCCGAGAACAACGTTTTTTTCGTGAGAGACAGGGATTATTTCGCGGGTTAACCTAAATTAACTGTGTGCGAAAAACATATTCCCGGATGCCCATACGGTTAACCCGCAAATGCTAAGCCTACCCGGGCTGACGTCGCAATTTATATACGATACATTGGTTCTTTACGGCAACTTTCATATCGCAATCTGAGTCAAAAAAAATCCTTTCGCGGAAAGCACTACCTGTAATAGTACTAACTCACCCTAGCCTTGTTTCCCGGTGTGATATGAGATCGGCGCTGAGAAGGTTTGACAGGATGGCGAATGGTTAGCTATGGAGATCAAACTTGACACCAAATTACCCTACCTATCCGTCGGGCTGATTTATTTTTATTTTTATTTTTTTTTACCCGTCGAGATTTACGAGTACTATGATACGGCATCATACTCCGCTAAGCTTACGGTACTGGTATTGCGCGCGGCGACAGTTATTTCTTCCAATTCGAGAATATCCGAATAAATTTAGTCGGTTTTCTAAGAATGTGAATCGGGCTGAAAATGGATAAAAATAAAACGCCTTGTATAATTATGTGGCTGTGCGGATTCGATTCGATTCGCCAAGGCATCTCATTTTCAGTAAAAGGGGTTCTAATCTAATAATATTATAATGGTTTGACTACCGGTACTGTACGGTACTAGTACTCGTACGGTACCCCGAGGTTATCTTGGCTTTCTTTTAACATGCTTTGTCCAGAGTCGGATTCTTGTGATGATAACCTACAATGCTTCCCCGAGCACCGAATGCGTGATGCCAAAGGGTTCAAAGTGTGGCTGGCACAACGTACAGTACTGTACAGTACAGGAATTTCTGCTTCTTCCGCTAAAAAAGTAGACAAGTTCGAATGGCCCTGCAACTATGATAAATACTACACCATAATTGTGGAAAAAATGGAAAAAAGAAGAAAAACACGGTTATTCTCAAGCATCTTGTTCAGCGTGAGGTTTTTTTTTTTTTTTTCTTTTTTTTTTTTTGCCATTATGCTATTTGTCACGGATCCTTAGGATATATAACAATCCTCAACGCAAAGAAGAAGTAACTACTGGGTCAAGTTCTATCATAGTGCACGTTTTGAAATATTCGAACCATACTGGCCCGAACATTAAGTAGGACCAAAGTAAATTGCCATTCGGGTCCGAATTTAGTTCGGGCAGCTTGACACAGATAATTTGCCATACTCGAGCACAAATTTCCGATCCTTGTGTTATGGTACTTCATACCGGATCTTGTACGAGAGTACTGTACATCGATACCACCACCCCTTGAAACATACAGTATTCGGTTGAGCCCGGGTAGAACCATTCCCAACCGTCCATACCCCCAATCGGAAGGAAAAGGTATTGCTTTTTCGGCATCCCGGGCTTCCAAACTCCCCAATGCCGTCCAGTCCGTTGCCACAAACAACAGCTTGACGCCGGCGGACCATAGTTAAATTCCTACGATACTGTATACTGTAGTGCAGGGATCAAGATATAGGGCTAACCTTCTCCTGCCCCCCTTTTCACCCAACCCGAAATGCCCAATACTCCACCGGGGCCGTTTTTATCGCCGGCCTCACAGCCAATGTCATTGGGTTCGTAGTAGGCATCATTGTCCAAACTCCATTTACGCACGGGAATAGCAGTCGGTGCGGATGTGAAGCCTGCCCGGTACATTTCCAGTCCTGCCCAAGCTATCATGGCGGCGTTATCGGTGCAATACTTTTGTGGAGGGACGACGATGCGGATGTTGTAACCGCTATGGGAAAGGTAGTTCGAAAATCTAAGTCATGGGACGTTAGCCAGAGCGGGGAATGTGATGTGGGGAGCAAAACATGTTTTTCAGGAACTTATTCGCTGCAACACCCCCGCTTATGACCAAAGCACCCGGCGAGGTCTTGGAAGCTTCAAGAGCAGTAACGACTCTGCTCGCCACATGCTCGAATGCGACCATCATAACCTCCCTTCCTAGCGCCCTCCGTTCCTCTACGGAAATACTGCTTGGGCCACCATCTTTCATGCAAAAGTATCTATCCAGAGTACTCCCTAGTCCACAAAATGAGAAGGCACCCGAAAAGCGCGCCTTCTCGCTCCTGGCCAGGGGCTGGCAAAGCTTCCATTCCCCCCACCTTTTCCCCTTCTCCTCATCTTCTCGCTTTCTCTCGGGGGTCTTGGGCGGGTTATACGCATACTCCGGTTCCTCCTCGGGAAAGCAAAACTTTTCCAGCGCTGCCCCGTAAGATACCGCCTCGGGGCGACTATCCATGACCTCTTCTGGCAATAGCCTCCGCGCGCACTTGTCCACCATGTCACCCAACGCAATATCTATCGTCTCGGCAAGTATTTTGTGACTAGTTAAACCACGACTCTCCAGTAGAATGGTATGTCCCCCAGACACTAACAAGGTCATGAAGGGAAATTCGACCCCGCCCTCGCCACCGTTCAGCGCAGCAACCAGTCGAGGCGTTAGAGTGTGCGCTTGCATATGATGCACTCCGATCAATGGAATGCCCCATGCGACGCTCAACCCCTTGGCCGTATCAACCCCTATGGCTAGCGCAGCGAACATACCCGGACCCCGTGTCACTGCTATTAAATCCGGTTTCCGTGATATATCTAGGGATTGCAGGAGGGGCATCAGGTTCCTCCGATGGAACTGCGCCGACGCAAGAGGGTGGATGCCGCCGTAGATCCGGTTCGGGCATGTCAGTGTTTTATGAGCCAGGAGGGTTGCCGTGCCCGGTGATTCGGGAGGGCTGTGGAGAAGGGCTACTGAGGTATCATCGCTGGGGTTGATATGTCAGTCAGTACACAACCCTTATGGCTTTGGAGGGCGGGAGGCACCAAGAGGTCTCGATGGCGAGGACCGTAAACCGACGGGCTTGCACTACGCTCTGCAATTGCCGGGCGAAGCGAAAGTTTCGGGAGGTGAGGAGTTTTGACATGATGGTGGAACCAGTAATGTGTCAGGTGTCTGAGATCGACCCTCACCACGACCAAATCCGACAGCGAACGGGCCCCAACAACAAAGTTTTTAGAGAAATGCTCTGGACAGAAGAACTACTTGAAATTTACCCCTCTTTAATTCTACGAATTCCATTTTTTTGGTAAAGTGAGTATGGTTGAGAAGGGTAAGAGGGCATTTTGGAAAAAAGCGCGTACACTTACAAATTGATGCCAATGCACTACTGTTTCGTACGCACTACTGAGCGAAAAAGAAAAAAAGTGAACAAGAGGTTTGATTTTTTGGTGTCCGGCACTGCGTGGTACTCGAGTAGGTTCGGTGGCATCTTTGGACGAAGGTGATTTGGTGGTTTGTTGTTGGTGTGATATCGTGGTGGAAAAAAAAAATCTGTGGTTGAGATGCGCCAAGACCGGCTAAAGGGCTAGGTTCACATTTGGACAGTCTCAATACCAGTATCATAGTATGATACTAAGTAGAACAGTAATAGCAGCAGGCAGGCAGTCCATAGTGATAGTGGGAAAAATTCCTTTTTCCGCATGAGAGAGCTATGCTGCGCTAGTCCTCGCCATAGAGCACTGGTAGGGTACTGGACAAGCAGTGTTGCACACCCCCTTACCTAACCCAAGCACTCGAGTGCCGTAAGCTCCCATCATGCCAATGTCCATCACAACAGTCCAAGCTGCTACAGTACTACCGGTACGGGTACAGTACGGACTACAGTTTCCCGATCCGAGACAAACAAGAAGACCCGGCCCGAGCGCTTTCATGCAAAGAATGTTCTGGGCCAAGAAAGAAGCAAGGAAGGCTCCCCAACATGGCGTAGGTTGATATTGCACTCCGGTGAGAATATGTAGGATGCTCACCGCTACTCATGTGCTACTAAATTATCATCCCGAAATGTAGTTATCCGTTATAACATGAGTGTTGTTGTGCCCTTAGACGCCGGGGTGGTGGTAATTGTTTGTGTGATGAAGACGGAGGAAGCCGTCCCCCAGGCGCGAGTAGCGCTATCACGGTACTCTTACTTGTACTCTACCGGTAGGCGTCAGTCACCTTGGCGATGGCGCACAAAGTGTTGTGTGAGCATGTCCAGGGATGATATGACGTGGGGTATTAGTCCAATATCGTTTTCGCGAAGGTCGTCGTCGGTTTGTCGGTCCCACTTCCTCCACTGTTTCTCTTCTGTTTCCCCTCCACCCCCACGGTGAGTTCAGGCTGATTCCTTGAGAGAGGTGAGAAGGTAAAGCAGGCTCCGGGAAATACTCGTAGGGCTCGGGTGGGAGAAATCATTAAGGAATTTGGTCCAAGCACCAGCGACCTTCCCGAGATCAAAAGGGGGAAGGAATAACTAATGTACTAGTACTACGAGTAATTCTCGATTGCACTGATCCTAGTCCGGGGAGATGCACGCGCTGACGAAGCATGATACTGGTGGGCCTCAACTCGACCCAAAGAAAAATGCACAATGTCAAGGGTGGTGGTGCTATTCCTGATTTGGGACGAGTTAGACTAACTCAGAGCCTCAGGCTCACCCGTCGCTTTGTCAGAACGTCCCTCAGCACCCAAACTCCAGCGTCTCTCATATCATACTGGTACGCATTGATATCATGAGACAATATTATAAGAGCCAAAAGAGCTCCGCGCCACCATCCATCACAACGATGCTTCGGACCCATTGGTGTTGGAGCGATGTGGTGAAGGTAGGGATGAGAATGATTTGTCGGAGTTGAGCATACCATAAAAAGTGCTAATTCCCTGCGCCTACGAGTATCACACGGTGGGGCTGGAAGTGCCGCCTGGACTGGACTGGCTGATGGCGATGGTGGGGCGGTATTTGACACGACTGAGACCCGGGGCCGGTGAGGGGTGAGGGGGACCGTATTGCATCGTAGCCTAGCTGGGAGGGAGGGAGGGAGAAAAAATCTCTTCCCCGAAGATTGAGGAAGACGTTGCGCTACGGTGCAGGGTGCCTACGGGAGGTGGTATCATAATATCATACCCTACCCGAGTGCTGTAATGTACTGTACTAGTACGAGTACTCGTACTCGTACCTGGCAGCGGAACTAAACCGCTCGTACCTAGTCTAGGGTGTCAGAGGACTCCCGTATGATACTGCAGGTACGATAATATGATACGACGGTGCTGTCCAGTAGCCTCGATTCAGGCTGCTTGCTACCTACTCGAGTACTCGAGTACTCGTACAGTACGAGTAACACTCTACTAGCGTTCATACCGGCAACTCACAGTGCATACCATGATACTAATCTTTTTTTTCTTTCTCCTAGCCATACTAGCCAACCAAACCTCCACCCCCATCCCATCCTCAGCCCAGCCTTCCATCGAGCACCCCGCGACAACCTTCCCAGAACGGCAAGCACAACCACAGTCCACAGCCCGCCATCTTGATTCGCGCGCCGCCCATTATCATCCCTTCTCCAACAGCGAAAAATCAAAGAGGCGATTGGCCCTCGCAGCGTCAGCGCAAACGCGAAACGAAACAAGGACAAAACCACATTATTCAGCTCACCGTGGCCCCCCCCCGGCACGATGCGATAGCCGTGATCCGCAGTGACGGACAAGGCCCGGGACGTGATTGGTCCATCATCTGCAGAGGAGATGATGCACGAAGGAGGAGATGGGATGGGGTTATTGCGCAATTTGAGGATTTGGGGGAGGGGCGGGTCTGTGAAAATTGCCATGATATCGGAATGGTATGCGGAGTCGGAGGTGGGTGTGGTGAGGGTTGCTTTCCCAGCCGCGGGGTGGGCAGACGAGGGAGCACGACACTCCACTCCTCTGCCCGAGCGGAGGAATACCGGTACTATAGCAGGCGCGACAGCTTACGCATGCATGCCCCGCGTCCCCTTTTACCGTTGCTTCAGAAGAATATCCAAAACCAAAACTTCCGTTAAGAATTCCTGACGGCCCCCTCCCTCCTCCAGATCCAGTGACAGCGCGAGCGAAGGCGAATAATGTTCTCTCCCGTTGCAGCCATGTTATTCTTCGAGTTTTTTGTTTTTTTATAGCCCCCGAGACACCATATTTATCTCCCCTTTCGGAGATTTTAGAGTTTCGCTTGGCGACGTTGATCAGGGGTTGTCGGCTCTGGTTGGCTCTTGCCTCACCTATTTTGTTGGAGATTTATTTACTCGTCGATTTATTCCCCGATATATGACACCCAATTGGTCATTCTTCTCTGCGGGTGGGCGGTTAATCTGTTGAAACGAACTCACTTCTTCCCGACCGAGTTTTATTTTATGTGCTCTCGTTTCCACGGCGGGAGGAGGGGTGGGGAATCCAAATTAAGATGTTTGAGCGTTGGGAGATGGGTAGACTAGAGTAACTGTACTCGTACAGTACCGGTATCATAGTACCCGCACTGCACGAATACTCGTACTTGTTGCTCATCACCACGGCTACTGCGTGATTGGGGGAAGTGGACGGGGGGGAATTATTATATAGAGCAATTTCATTTCCACCGAATTCTTGTGTCGCTCGTTTGTTCAACTTGCATTTCTGGCAATCTGCATTGTTTGGATTTTTTTTCCTTTTTCTTTTTCCCCTTCCTTTCTTTTTCTATTTCCCTCTCTTCTTTCCTTTCCTTGCTTTGTTTTATTTATTTATTTATTTCTCTCTCGCTCATTCCTTCCTTCTTATATCAGACGGGCTTGCCCTTTGCGTTTTTCTTCTTCTTCTTCTTCTTCTCCGAGTTCTGTTAAAACGGTAGTGCCTACACCCGCCTTTTGAACGGACTACTATCACTCTCCTTATAGACTTGTGTGTTAATGCGGTGAGGGCGCCGTTAGTACTTACTGTTACGGGCTACCACATACCACGATACACACATATACAAGTACAGGGAAATACCCTTTAGAGTTTGATACTCCGAATTTCGCCGCTCTTCAGCACACTAATTTTCTTTCTTATTCTCCTTCTTTCCTTCCTTCCTTCGGGTATTCTTTAGACTATTCTTGCATTTCCTTTCTTTTTTTCTTTCTTGTCATTTTCGGTCCTACCTTTCTTCCGCTCCCGGTCCACGTTACACTCTTCAGCCCTTCCCCCCCCCCAAAGTAGGCCGACCGATATATAACTTTAATACCGCCCACAAACTCGCCCACTCGCCCACTCACCACCGTTCTGTCATTCATTCCCTCCCTTGTGCTCCCAACCGCGCACACTCTCTCACCAATCATCCATCCATAACCAAACGATATACCGAGAAATGCACCAAACAACACTGAACGACGCCGCCCTCGCCCTCTCACGGGTCCTGACCTTCCACCGAATCCACCACACCTTCTTCGGCGGCTTCGCCATCCTAGCTACGGGCGCGGACCACCGCGAGTCGAAAGACTTGGACGTCCTCGTCTCCGCCCCCAAATCGACGATAACCGACATCCTCTCCGACCGTCGCGACTGGCTGGAAATCCCCCAATCGAGGGAGGACTACGTGGCCTACTTCTGGAATTCGGGTTCCTTCACCACCTCCCCCCTCGAGCCGAAGCACATGGTGCTGGTGGAGATGTTTGTCGGGCAGCACGACAAGGCTCGCTTCCCCGAGAGTCGGAACACGGTGCTCAGGGGCTGCAAGATGGGCACCAGCTACGTCCCCATCGCCAACGAGGATGTACTGTTCCGTGGAAAGCTGAATGCCTGCGCGAGCAGGGGGAAGAGGAGCGACGCTCAGGATGTTGACTACCTCGTCGCCACCTACGGGGAGAGGTTGAAGGTTGTCGCCAAGAGTTTGGACAAGAGGACCGTGGGATTGGCCGTGAGGAGGCATCCGGAACTCAGGAAGGTACTGGCAGAGTTGGGCGTTGGTACCCGCGGCGCAGTTTGGGGGGTTAGGAAGGCGAAGATTGAGGCTGCGGACGTGCCGCAGATGTGGGATGTGCATCGGGGGTTGGGACTCGAGTGCGCTTAGGGCATTCGCCCGTTCATTCATTCATTCACTTTGTCATGGCTGTTGATGGGTTTGGAATTGGGATTGGATGGAGTTTTTTTTTTTTCTTTTTTTTTTCTGCGTGGCTAGTGGTTGGGGGAGGGGTAATGGTGTGGGTTATTCGTTCGTTTTATTTTTTGAAAAGGTGCATCGGTTCTGGTTTTGGTTCTTTCAATTTTTTCTCTCTCTTTTTTCTCTTTCTCATCTCCATCTTCTCATTCCCGGGTTTTTCACATCTTGTTTAGCGATGCATAGCGTTGGTCTCTTTTATGGGAAGTGGGGGATATTACAAAAAAGGGGGGAGGAAGGGGCATGACATTCGGGTACTGAACCGTTCCTATGAGATCGGAGGAGTATGTAATAGAAACAGTATAGTTATCAACTGGACTGAGTGAGTGATAAAGTGTGTTTAGATTTTTTTTTTTTTTCCTATTCCCTTCTTCCTTCATCATAGCTAACGGTGATCGGGTCATATATATATATAAAAAGGGAAAATAGAAAATGAATAAGATTATGGATAGTACAAGTACCGTACTCTGGTTGTACAGTACCGGTAGTAATACGTGACATATAAAAGTCTAAATCTCGCTTGGACTCGCTTCCATCCTGATGCTTATGGGTGCACACAGTACGAGTATGGTAGGTGGTGGTTGGTGATGGTGCCTTGCATGCCCTCGCCGGTGATCGAGAGAGAATGCATAAATCTGATAAAATGTAAACGAGATCTTTGTGAAACGATGAAACGAAACCACAAGCGACCATCTCTAGTAACTCCATCCCAGCAAGTACAGTTATCATAGTTCTATCGCCTCCCCCCCTTATCCACCATCAATCAATCAATCGATAGTCGGTTTCAACCTCCACCACCCCTCACTCACTCACTCACTCACTCACTCACTCGATCAAAAACGAGGACGAGGAACGACCAAATAGGAATAAAAATAATAATAAAATGCCCCGTCTAAAACTCTCCACAATCCCAAAATCACTTTCTACCCACCTCTTCTCCCCAACAGCAACGACCCTCACCTCCCCCTTCGCCACGACGACGCCGGCGTCAACAACAACCTCCTTCCAAATCCTCTCAGACCTCCACCTGGAAGCGACGCAGACGCCGCCAAATACTTACGAGACCTTCCAAATCCCGCCACGAGCGCCATACCTCCTGCTGGCCGGGGACATAGGCCTCCTGACGCCGAGCCACTACCCGCGCTACCTCCACTTCCTGACGGCGCACGTGCACAAGTTCCGCCAGATCTTCCTGACGCTGGGCAACCACGAATTCTACCACCAGTCCCGCGACGAGGCGCTGCGCGCCGCGTCGCGACTGGAGAGCGAGCAGGCGCTGGAGGGCCGGGTGAAGGTGCTGTACAGACGGGCGGTGGAGGTGGCGGTGGAGGTGGGGGAGGGGGAGGAAGAGGTGGTCTGCGTGCTAGGCGTCACGCTGAACACGCACGTGCCGGAGGAGGCGGCGGCCGAGGTGGCGGCGAGGGTGCAGGACTTCAGGATGATACGGGGCTGGAGTGTCGACGCCCACAACAGGGCCTTCCGCGAGGACGTGGAGTGGCTCAAGGGCGCCGTGGCCGGGCTGCGGGGGCGCAAGGCCGTCATCGTCACGCATCATGCGCCCCGCGTCGGCGGAACGAGTAAGCGTGTGTTCGAGGGCAGCTCGCTCGCGTCGGCCTTCGCCACGGATGTGGTTGGCGAGGTGCTCGCTGCTGGTGGCGGTGAGGGCGTGGGCGCCTGGGTCTTTGGTCATACCCATTTCTCCGTCGACTTTTGGGTCAAGTGGAAGCGCGGCAGGGTCCGGCTGGTGGCCAATCAGAGGGGGTATTTTGGGGAGGAGGCCGGCTTTGATGTTGGCTTGGTGGTGGGCATTTGATGTGATTTTGGGTTTGTTATCGTCAGGGGGGGGATATACATACAATATACGGTAAGGAGGGACTGATTTAATGACTGTAATGACTTCTTCTTCACGACTTTGTTTATTATTACGCTTGTCATGCTTTTTTTTTTGTTTTCGCCTGTATCATGTACGCACACACGTTGGGTCTCATAGTTTTGGAGTACGGTGAATCAATGGATTATATGTACTTGAGTGAGTGCGAGTGTCTACAGCTACGGGATGATCGAGAGTGGGCATCTGGAATCAATGTCACTCGCGGGAGTGGGTGAGAGCCAACAAGCGACCTTGGACTCGAGAGTGTCGGTATTCCCACATTATCATGGGAAAAGCCAAAACACCTGGCACCAACACCAAATAAACCAGGCCGCCGAATTCATCGTTACCTTACAGCCGAGTGATACATCATGCGACGAGACAACCTAACCATTCGCTGGATCAAATCAACAGGTAGCGCAACAGGAGGATAAGAATAAGAATAGCAGAATAGTCCCTTCATCAATATAAGACATTCCCCCCAAGGCATTTATTCCCGCGCAATGTCAACCTTCTTCTCCTCATCATCATCCTCCAATTCGTCCCCAGCGTCAGCGGGATCCTCTCTAACTTCCAGTTCCATCCCCACTGGCACTTCCACTCCCACCGCCCCAACCTCACCTCCTCCTTCTCCTCCGCCGCCTCCTGCGGGATTTTTAGTCTTCGCAGCCCTCGCATTCCTCTTCGATCTCAGCCTAACCACCGCTGCCGGTGGTGGAGAAGGTTCGACGTTCTCGCTCCCACGGGACTCCTCGCCGGGATTTTCCGTTGTCTTTCTCTTCGTGTCTGTTTGAGAATTATACATTCTCGTAGGCGGGGCGCCACCGGGGGAGCACTTTTTGCCTTTCTCCAATAGAGCACGGAAACCCATCTCGACGCACTAGTCACAAGTCAGTACTGCCCGGAGAAGGATCCGACTCCACTATGGGAAGGAAAAAGCGCACCTTTTTTTCCACCTGCTGCCATTCCAGCCCCAAATTCCCTGCTAGGCTCTTGAAGAATCCCACTTTGGCACTAACAAACTCCATCGCAAGGTCCTTCTCGCGCTCGGCATTCCATTCCAGCTGCGCATTCGTGACCAGTCTGGCGTGGCGTTTCCGACAGGCGTTACTGGTCTTACCTGGAAAGAGGGGGCTGATCTCTACCCATTTTTTGCCCGAGGTTTTGGATGTCAAGAGAAGTTCGTCATCGGTTGTTGACCAGGCTGCGGTGGGTGGGGTGGTCGGCGGGGCCGTGTGCAGGGCTCGCATGTAGGGTTTTGATGGAAAGTGCTTGGGGGAAGCCTTCTTTGGTTTGGATTTTGGCATTGGTGGTCGGGTGGTCTTGGAATTGGGGGGTGTGGGTTCTGGCCATTGAGGGGTGGCCTTCGGTTTATATGGGGGTGGAGAGGATTGTCTTGGGACGCGATAGATCGTAGCCACTTCTAGATGGGGGAGAGGAGAATGGAGAGGGAGGGACTCGCCTGTCGGTTCGAGCAAACCACGGGTGTACGCAGAGGCAGTGGTGGACAGATAGATGGATTGGGGTGGGGTGGGGGGAATCAAAGTAGCACTCACTGTAGGTGAGTTCCCAGGTTTGATGGTGCGTATGATATACCTGTTCCGCTGGTTATAGAGTGCGCAAACATTAGTACAAGAACATTTGGCAACGATATTAGGATACCTTTGAAAAAAATCCGATCTCAGAGGTATCACAGGAATAAGACTTGAAGCTCCTGAAAATAATCCCGTTGTCACTCACTCACTTCGCCCAAGTAAGTTCATGAGCCATGGAAGGACTTACCGTAAACCACCTCACCATAGCATTCAACCCCTCCCGACACAAGTCCCCAAGTTAACAAACATAACCATCCCCTATCCGGCCTCAAACATCTACCTAGCCTCAACTTTCCCCTTAGACACAAATTTTTTTTTTCCGGCCACATCCCGACCACCTCAATCACCGTATTAGGCCTCAAAAAACGGCTTCGCACATGATACCTGTCGCCCTGATCGTACCTGCAGCATGGCGGGCTGAACTACCCGAGACCATGAATGTTTTGTAGGATACAGTTACCATGCTTTGGCTCGATGTATTGAGTCAGAGTGATCGGCTATGAAGTGTGCGCGAAGTTTGGTGTCAAGTGTTGAACTCTCTCAGTAGTGGAGGTGAGAGCGGGAGACGTGTGTTTTGGGTCGAATGAAAACGGTTATTCGTTGGGCGGGCCGACCACGAAGACGATTGTGAAAGAAGGCATTGGCCGGTATATTTACATGATATATTCGACCATAGGATATCAAAAGTGTGACGGCTCAATCGCTATCAACCTATTACACAAGGTAGATCATAATCTACGAGTACTGTTTGGTGGAGTAATTCCAATGCCGACTTTTTGACGTGATGGATTGTGGGTTGTGTTGATATGGAGAACGTTGGTCCGGATTATTTTGCCTTCGGACACAGCGGTATAGGGTCTGGCTGGAGGTGTTTTCTTTTTATTTAGTGCGGAATTTACCGTCTTCATTTCGATCCTCTAATTAACATTGGTGGACGCCTGACATTTTCGATGGGAAATGCCGCATACGAATTGCACAACGCATACCGGTAAGTGCAATTCTGACGAAGAACGGAAGCAACAGCCAACAGATCATAACCGACCCAGATGAGGTGAACATGTCATCATTTACTGATATCAATAATGGGGGTAGCCATCGTCTTGTTTGAAATGTGGCGAACCGCGAATAAGATCTCCATTGGGAGCCTATCATATCATAATTTTCAGGAGCAAGTACGGTACGGTACTCGAGTATAAGCAGAGGCGCCTGCCAATAGTCATCACATAAAACCCTTCTCCTCTCCTCCACTCCAAATAAGCCATGAATCCATGCATCCACTGTTTATTTCTCCCTCTTCTTTCCACGAATGTTCTTCCTCCGCTGCTTAATCATATGAGTGTATTGGTTATACAATCCTAACCTCATTGTTAGCCCATTGCCCACTCAGATTCATCAATCCTATAGGAGGGGTTTACCAGGGGGATATGTAACCAAAATCCCAACAAAGACCCAGTACAAAATCTCATTGTAAGACCTCGCCTCGCTAAGAGCGCGGTAGATGCAGAGCGCCTCGCTGCCAGCGCCCATAGGATACAGGACGTAGAAGGTGTTATACCTCAACCAGGTCAAGAACGCCGGTGTCCGGCCAACGATGCTGGTCACGTAGTAGCTATAGCGGCAAATCTCGGTGACCCCCCAGGCGAGGAGCATGGTCGAGTAAAAGAACGAGCTCTTGGGCTGTTCGAAGGGGCTGCAGACACCCCACACTAGGAGGATTCGGGAGGAGACCTGGAGGAGGGTTGTGGAGAAGGAGCTTCGGAGGAGACCTGGATATCGCGGATAATGTTAGTTATAGATTACTTGCAGAATTGAGGATTGGGGGGGGTTACCAAGAAGAATGTGGAACACTTCCAAGATTGCCAATGTCTGCGCCCATTTTGTGTAGTTCCCTACACCAGCGTAGACGTTTTCGTGCCCGACGAGCGGCAGTAGGAGGAGTGTGCGGCCTACGACACCAAACCAGAGCACCACAGAGACAGCATTGTAGGCGATTAGACTAATCCAATTGTTAACGACGGTTCCCTGCCAGACATGTGAAAATATAGGGGGAGGGGCTACTATTGATCCTTGAAGGGTCGACGGGCTTTAGATCGCTCCATATTTGTTGTTGTGGAAGGTGGTGATGGGGAGGTTGTATTTTTGAAGTGGGAAAATGCAGGGCTAAATTGTTGGGGTCGCGGCTCAACGGCACGGTGAGGACCTGCAGCCTGTTGGGTTGAGAGGCGGATTATTGATTTCCCACAACCTTTGCATGTGTTGCCAAGAAGCTACTAATCTAAGGGAAACCTTGACGTGACTCTTTTAAATTTTGTGCTATTTTATAGTAGCAGAGGAGGATCAGCTCCTATGGATTACTGGGTTCGATACCGGGGCGTAAATTGGAGCTCTTATCTTCGCTATGATGTAATAATTCACCTAGAGTTGGAGCCGTTTATGGGTCCACGCTTGATCACTCGGTTTCATAATGGTGGAGGCTATGCTACCTATTTCGAGCATTTCTCGTGGGATATTTTGCACCTTTCTTGCATATGGGCATTGCAAGAGAAACCACTAAATAGAGATGCCTGCACACTATGGTACGGTTTTAGGGGCATGTCCAAATCTATCTAGTGAACCTGTCCAGTCAGATCCCTATTCTCCAACTCGCCCTCAGCAGCAGCGAAGCACTTCGGGCTGGCGGGCGGGATAAAGGGAAAATAATGGAAGGGGAGAGAGCCAAAACCCAACTAACGAGTAACAAAGCATTCTTCTTCTTCCGAGACCTCAATATTGGTAATTTGCGGTGGAAGTTGACCCAAGGTCCAAGGCCAGCCTAGAGTCAACGGAAGGATATGAGAAGGGAAGAGAGTCTGATGAAGTCAATTTTATCTAACTCTCTCATGATGTTAGAACGCCTCTGCCAGTGCCCTGCGAGCTAGATTGAGTGGCAAGCCAAGCAGACGGAAGAAGCGAACTCCATATCAGAACCCAACATCTTTACTGCATTTATGGGCCACAAAGGGGAAATTTGTGTTCCTTGTAGTTTTAGGTACCCAAGATAGAGGAAAATCATCGACCACTTCTCGTAGGCTAACTGCTAAGAGAGTGGCCGCCACTAACGTTTACGGGAAGGCTGAGGGTTCTATTCTCCTCTGGGGCCTGGCTGTAGTAGGGATAAAAAAAAAGAAGAGTAATCTCTGGTGGACCATCCTTTTTCCATCAGGATTATCGGAAATTCTGTTCTAATATATGGCTCCTGGATTTCGGGGCGGTTTCAGATAGGAATGCTTTAACCCACACGATTTTTGGCGTTCTTGTATCAGTGTTGGGGCAGCCTTTATGGTATGGGCTGCTATTGCATACCGCCAAATTTCTGCGCACTTACGGTTTTATGTTACAAGAGCTGGGCTGGAGAACATACGTTCAGTTAAAATCACACGCGAAATAGTCGCTTTGCGTTTCAAGTGAGGTTGGCTAAGCTATGTATGGATATAAAAAAACGTGTTGAAATTTGTGGAGGAAGGTAGTGACCCATGGTCAATGGTTGAAATTCCAATAATCTTGTGGGAGATTTCTTTCACCTCGGAATTGTGGTGATTTATGGAAAAGGTTCTCCAAACATGTCTTTCTTCTGCCATCACTGGAGTACACTAGGGGATAGGGATATACATGGAGGAAAATGTATATGTGTAGTAATCCATGGAAGGATCATGATTGCATTATGTTTTATATAATATTATACTCCTATCTCGGCCGTTCGTTTAGATAAGGTGGACGAGAAGGGAATGGAGTGCACTGCCATACCTTTCCTAGCTTTCCTACAGTTACTCTAGAATGCTCAAGTCCCATTCAATTCTACTGCTGCTCCATTTATTAGTTGCCCCCAAGAAACGGAAGGATGAATATGAGAATAAGAGTGTATAGGGGAGCGCCCGGCCAGGAGAGTATGCGTGCAAGTTGCTAAGAGGGATGACAAATATGGTGGAAGCCACGACGAGGGTTAGGAGATTAAACACATGGGCCTTCGATGCCCATGTGCTCAGTGTCAATGAACTATACTGATAGTCAAAGGAAAAAATTCGACACAGCATCCATTCGAGTTTGGTGGCCGAGCACCTTGAGGTCATGCACAACCGCGTAGAGCAGAACCTTCAGAAAATCGATATGCCGGTGCAGTTCGGACACCCAACAGCGGTATCGGAACTCTGTCTCCGGCTTTCTTTCAACTACGGCAGTTTTAACCTATGCCGACGGAATGTTGTAGCCATTTCCTACAGAACCCGAGACACTTTCCCTTATCTACGATACCGGGCGATGACGTCTGATACTGTTCTCTGTTCGTGTGTGAGTCATCCCACCTCCTGCGTGAATCGGGCCACCCACTATAATATTATGATACTATGCTAATATCATGCCATCATGGAGGACAACAGTGCCAAGCGCTCTACCAATCTACCTCCTCTTAGGAGCGAAGTCCCCTGTAGACCTCCCAGATCTTCAGGTAATGGGTTCTCACCCCTTTAAATTGCAGGTTTACTCTGTCGACAAATTGTGAGAGGCGATCCACAAATGTGCGATCTTTGTTCCCACGATTGCGATCCAGTCGTCTATTTGTGGAAGAACACGGTTGGATGCTGGGTGGCGTCACCTTCTAGCACTCGGTTGAAACACACTCTCTGAGTTGGTTCATGGTCCCTTCCCTGTTTCGATGCTTCCAGCATTGTATGGGGTTAAGCTGTGTGGGCATTTCGTGCTTGTGAGTTTCTATGTTTGAATTGTTAACCTATTTTGAATTAATTTGAGTTTTGCTGGGGGGGCGTTAGTTTCCCTTTCCTTGTTTCGCTGTTGGTCGCGTACCGGCAAGGATTATGTGAGCAGTCAACTTGGAATGGTGCTGGTATGATACCTGTCTCTGTTCGTGGATAGCATGGTATACTCTTCCCAATCTTTCCGTCGAAAGAATATATTTGATATTAGTGCTCTTAACAGTGTAGCCTGTTCCCGTTGTCGTTCCTTGGGAATACAGAACAAATTCATCTTCATAGGGTCCTGATTGGAGGCCTGATATGTATGCTAGGCGTTCTTTCACTCTTAACAATTCAGCTAGTTCCAAACCTTGACCAGCGTGTCGTTATACATCGCATCGCGCTACCCCTAAATTGCGCAAAACAAAATAGGTGAGACTGCAATCTTGACAAGATACTTCGTTAGCGGCAGCTCATCTCGATCAGCTTTCTTTAGATTACTCGACGAGTGACTCCATATGAAGCCCAGCTGTGTGAGTACGGGCCTGTACGGCGCCGAATTTTGGCCACTAATTCTATCATGGAATAAAACGAGTTTAATACGTGACCAAAACAAATGCCACAAACCAGCGTAAGAGTTGTCTATGATCGCTCGAGGATGTAAGATAGAAAACCAATTTCCGCCTTTCTCCACGGTCCTCTCAGCTCCCATCGCCCCTGGCCGCCCCCTGGCCGCCCATCTCCTGGCACCGCCCAACGCCCCATATGCTTGGGACTATGACACCCCCTCTCTACGAACGTCCATCTTGGGATTTCCACGGCTGGAAGGGAACTGCCTTCTATTATCTCTTTAGCTTCAAGAGCTCTTGGTAGCCAAGTTCGAGGGGGGTCACAAGTGCCTATGGCCATTGTGAAAGTGACCTTGAACGTCGACTATCAGGTCCACCTCTGGTAATAAATGAGCCCATATGGTAATTGCGGTTTTCCTTCCCGCCGTCATATCTATAACACCTTTTTTTTTTTTTTTTTTTGTTTCCTCCCGTTCCCGCCTTTAATCGCGGGGTTTGGTGCCGGAGGGGTTGGGAGCTCGATGCGCCCCAACCAGTGCGGGGCGTATCATACTTTCTTCAAAGAGGGGTTGGATGAGATGAGAGGTGTTTGCAAGGCCTGTTTTCTGAAGCTCGCACACGCCAAACCCTGGAAGGCACATCTCGGCCAAGACATCCTGGACCGGTTCCACGGCGGGGGAGCCAATTTATAGGCAGCCCACCCTCTTAGAACTCTGAACCTTCCTAGTGGTAAGGCTGTGGCCCTGATGGGAAGAGAGTGTGTGACATAAAGTATTTATATCACTTTCTCTACCTCCTGGACCGGAGTATACAGGCTGATTTTGGATCTAAAGTAGATGGCGCGTGGGATAAAGTGCCCTTTGGGGGTGCTCTAGGAGGTAAATAGTCGTAGAGGCCTCATAAGGAAGCTGGTGTCATAGAAACACAACGGCAAAGGAATAGAAACTCCATGCCCATACCATGGCTCTCGTTTCCCTTTAAGCTCTCCTTCTCTGCCACCTTCAAGCCAGAGCCCAGCTCTTCATACCCCCATACTTTCACAAAACATATATGATACAACATCACTAAAGCAAGCAGCCATGAACGCCGCCAACACCCCCAAACTCTGGCCCGAATACACCACCCTCTCCTCGATCGACAGCTTTCTCCTCTCCCTAGTGCTCCTCCCCATCCTTATCACGATAGTCTACAATCGCTACTACCACCCGCTCTCTCCCTTCCCGGGCCCATTCCTGGCAAGTATCTGGTCCGGCTGGCGCGACTGGGAAAACTACCGTAACATGGAAGACCAAGAGCCCCTCTTACACGAACGCTACGGCCCCATAATTCGTATCTCACCAAACACTATTTCGGTCGCCGACCCGGACTGCCTCAAGGAGATATACACCCGGACCAATTTCCCTGAGCGGCGGCGATCCTTCCCGCATAATGGAACCGTCGATGCTTACCCGCTTGGTTCCTCGGTGCTGCTGCATACTGAGTTGAGGAAGGGAATTATGCTGGATTATTCTGTGGGCACGGCGGAGTCGTGGGAGAGTATTGTGGATGAGAGGGTTAGAGAGCGGGTTGGAAAGTTGAAGGCAGTGTACAGCGGCAGCGGGGTTCGGTTTGGCTTTTCTGAGTGGGCTAGGTATTTGAGTGTTGATTTGGTCGGGTGGGTGGTGTTCGGGGTTGACATGGGGTGTACGCAGAATGGGAGAGATGTGAGTGAATCTCGTGCCTTAAATTGCTGGCTGGGGGGAGAAGCTAATTGTAATGTCCGTGGTTAGAGCGGAGGTCACATCCTGGGATCCAAAAGTGGATTGG